ACAAATAGATAAAAAAAAATTTCTTATTTTCTGTATTGGGGAAAAATGTACATAATTGGAAAAACATTTTTAAAAAGACAATTTAAAAAGTGCTGTTTCTGAAGCTATTAACGGATGAAATTCTTAAATAGATTGTGTAATGTTTATTTTGTTGCTGAAAATAACTAGCACCCTAAAAGTAACAAAACAAAGATAGTAAAAGAATTTCATAATAAATCTAGAAATAATCACATCTCTATACCGTTTTTAACTAACGTTGTTTGTCATATTATACAATATTAATTTTAAACATAAAATGAGGTGCTATATACGCAAGTCTGTTTATTTCTGGGATGGTTTGCTATGATAAAATTATTATAAACGTCCTTTAGAATTAAGTTAGAATTAAAATTCTGTTTTTCAGTTCAGGTTTTTTTTTTTTTTTTTTTTTTTTTCAATTTTCTTTTTAGTTTATATTGGTTTTTTTCAGTGCATTTTTAAATCTAGCAAATTGTCAAAACTTGCAAAATGTCATTTCCAAGTTGTCAAAACAAAATATTATATGCATGATCAAAAGTGGTGTGTTATAGCACACAACTGACTGTAAGCTATGATTATTAATTTAACAAAAGATATAGAAAATTATTATTGTTAAATTAATTAAATTTTACTTATCATTTAAATTATCAAATTTTACTTATTAAACTAACACTGAACCATTTCAAACAATAACAAAAAAAATCAAATAGACATAGAAGTATTGTGGATCTCACAAAATAATTACTAATTATCAATGTATTTTGTTTGTTCAAAAAATAGAAATAAAAATATAATAATGTCTATTTTATTTTGATGACTATTTGTTGTTAGTAACTTATATTTGTTGTTAGTAACTAGAGTTGTTAACCGGAAAATTTTGTACAGTTCTGAAAAAATAAAATTCTTTCGGAAGGATATTGAGAATTTTTAAGTTTCAATTGTAAAATCTTATAAATAAACCAAGGCTTTCATAAAATAAACTTTTTAAACTGTCATTCAAGGAATAGGAATTTAATATTGAAGATAACTTGAACAACGTTAACATACTAATGCAATTGCGTATTTTGGAAACGATCCTATTGTTCAAATCAAAAAATAACCTAATTTAAGTAATGAATGCTGAAACTTAATTTTATATTAAAAAGCCTAAAAATAGCTCAGACTTGTTTTCAATTAGAATGACTTTATGTTAAGTCAGTTTCACTTTTTTTTATTTTTGAGGTGCTCTGTTGAGCTTTCGCTTCTATTACTTTCACAACAACAAGTAAATTCAATTAAATTTTAAAGATCCTTTTAAAAGATTTTTTATAAAATATTTTCTTTTATTAAAAAAAAAGTTAGGGTGGGAAAGTGGTAAAGGCACTTGTTCCCTCTTGTATTGTTGGCCCTGGAAAATGTTTTAGTTTGCATTATCCTAAAGTTATTGGGACTATACAACTGCTGAAAGTATTAAAGCTCTAGCTATTTTGAAGTGTAGTGAAAAATTGATTGCAAGATTTTGTAGCAATAATGGGGGCACGTACAATGCATCCCTTAACCAAGTGTTTGCCCCTGGAAACAATTTTAACATAGAAGCTTGCCAGGACTATACAATAGTTGAAATTTTCAGAGCTGTAACTAGTCTGAAAGATAGTGATAAATTATTTGCAAGATTCAGCAGTAACTAACAACTGCCAAACAACACATGAAGTAAAAATTAAATATTGTAACAGAACCAAATATTTTACTGGATTTTTATATATGAGAGTATAAATAGTAAATCTCCATTTCTACAAAGCCTAAGGCAACAAGCAAACAAAATTCGGTACTTAAAATTTATAAATATATATAAACACTGGCGTAGCGACAGGGGCAAAGAGAGCAAAATTTAAATGTGAATATATATATATATATATATATATATATATATATATATATATATATATATATATATATATATATATATATATATATATATATATATAAAGAGAGAGAGAGATGCGGTAGTGGTGTATTGGTAAAACGCTTGCTTCCTAAGCGAGAGGTTCTGAGTTTGATCCCCACCACGTCCCTGGTAGTACCGCGCTCAACTTGTTTCTCTGCGCAGCGGCCTTGGTTCGTGTTTTGGAGTTATAGAGTTGAGAGAGGGTTATAACCACTATTAATTAGCCTCCACAGCTGTAGTGGCCTTCTTGACCTTGAGGAGGTGAATAGCAAAAAATATATATATATATGTTTATGTATGTATGTATGTATGTATGTATGCATGTATGCATGTATGCATGTATGTAGGTATGCATAAATTATTGGAGAAACATTTAACAACATTTTTTTTATTTAAATAATAAATATAACACTTTTTGTATAACAGTATGGTGAATGCTTTCGAGTCTTTTCTGTAAGCGCATATTCCGAAACGCTCCTTCCATAAGGGATTGTTTTGCAAGTATTCTTTCGAAATGATTTGTTTTGCAAGTTTCTTTTTGTTAACAGTTATTATGGAATTGTTATTAATTTACACTTGCTGAACCCTTATTTAAAGAAATGAATGTGCTTAATATTTATCAAATTAACTTTTACCAAAATATGTTGTCTATGCTAAAATTTACATTAGGCCAAGTACCAAATCATTTTTTAAATAACTTTTTATAAATAACGTTAATAAATATAACACAAGAGAAACAGGATAACTTTATTACACCTCTTAAAAAAACAAAACTTTCCCAATTCTCAATTCCCTATTGGGGTCCTTATTTATACAACATACTAGTAACTAAAAATAAATCAATTTGCAATCAAGATAATCAAAATTCTTTTAAAACAAAGTTAAAAAACTGATACTGAACTTAAACAAATACTACAAGGTGAATAGACTTGTTTTTGTGTACAATCTAAATGACTCTCACCTCTGTCAAAAAATGCTTTAGAAAAGTTAGTTTTTCCAACAACAAAAAAATATGTGATTTTTTTTCTTAACAATTTTAGTTATTATGCTGCATCTTGTTATGTTTAATTTTTATTTTGAGCTTATTTTTTATTCTAATTTTTATCTTGAGTTTATTTTAATTTAAAGATTATCAATGTATAGTTGTACTTAATATATATTTATATTTAACATAATCATAATATCAACCAATCACATTGTAAGGGCTTTGTAATAAGATCATTATGATCTTCTTGAAGTCTGGCCATACTATTTAATTATAAATTCTATTATATATTTTGACTCGTGAAACTTGTAAATATTACACCTTTAATTTACGAAATTTGTAAATGTTATTTGCATGGCAAACATAAGTGTATATATATATATATATATATATATATATATATATATATATATATATATATATATATATGTGTGTGTGTGTGTGTGTGTGTGTGTGTGTATATATATATATATATATATATATATATATATATATACACACACACACACACACACACACATATATATATATATATATATATATATACACACACACACACACACACACACACACACACACACACACACATATATATATATATATATATATATATATATATATATATATATATATATATATATATATATATATATATATTCTTAAAATAATAATAAAATTAAAACTTCAATCAATTATGAAAAAAGAATTTTCACTACCAGTAAAATGAAAGTTATGAAAGTTTAGCAAAAAAACTAATAGAACAATGTCAATAGTTTGCGTCATTATGAATTAAAGTAGCATATTTTAAACAATAAAACTTTTTAAAACGTTTTTTCAAAATTTTAATTGGCGTCTTTTCAAAATTTTAATTTATCATTTTGGGCGGTCGTTGACCGCGTACCAGCTGTTATTTTCCATGCTGATTTTTATGTTTAATAGCATTTTTTCATTTTGTTCAACTATTAGATGTCTATTGAACTATTAGATGTCTATATGAACTATTAGATGGGTTTAGTTTGTAGTGTGCAGTTCAATCTTTTATTATGTTTTGTTTCAGCAAATTGTATAACACTTCCTTTTAAATAAGTTTTAATTATGGAGTATTAACATTTCACTGCCCAATGCTAGTGTCAACATCATGTTGAAACATCCATTTGAAAACATCAATGACATGTATTTTGGCATGTTTTTCTTCAGTTGTTTTTTTTAGTTAAAATAAAAAAATAAAAAAATTTGCCGCTTGTGATCGCCTTCAGTCATTAAAAAATAGTTTGATTTGTTTAACATTTCTTTATATTGTTTTAACAATCTGCAACATGTCTGTTATATTCATGTGCATCTTAAAAAGATTAAAATCAATCTTTTAGACTCACTTTATTTCTAAAGGTCTCTTAATGCAATTTCAATTTGCTTTATTTCAGAAATTATCAAATCAAAAATTAAGCATATAAAATTTAAAATATTTAATATCCAGCCAATGTAAACTCTTCTTTTTTTTCTTTGGTAACATATTTAAAAGACAGAGTTCCAAATTTTTTTTCAAATAAATCTTTTTAGAATTAATAATAGAAACTTAAAAATTTGCTTTTAGCGTAACTTGCTAATGTCTTGCCATATCTTTTATTAATATCATTCTGTAGTTTATGACACTGTTCTCTTAATAGAACATATTGAAGTGTATCTCTATGTTGGAGGTTCAGTGAGTAACAATTGTTTTCAGTGACAATAAATTCATTAAAGCAAGTTTTTTTTTTTATTTTTCTTGTCTTTGTAACTATCAATGATTCGAACTTTGAAAAGCAAAGAAAACAACACAACTCTACACCTTTCCTTCAATAAAACTAAGTTTAAGTGTTATTTTAATAATTTTTTAATATTTATATATCATATAATTGTTATAATTACTCATATTTATAACCTATAATTAGTCAAATTTTAGTCGTTTTCCCATTCAAAATAATGCTGACCCTCCAGCAAAACATCATATTTTTTTCAAATTCGTAATCTCTATAAAATTGTTTAACAAAATGAATTCATTTTTGAAACTGAAATAAAAAATCTTTTAATGTTTAGGAATTCACGATGGAACAACTATTCATCTTGTTATAAAAAAGGATATAAAGGTTTGTGATTTATTAAAGTTTTTTCTTTAAAAAAGTTGGTAATATATATATATATATATATATATATATATATATATATATATATATATATATATATATATATGTATATATATATATATATATATATATATATATATATATATATATATATATATATATATATATATATATATATATATATATATATATACTTTACATATATATATATATACTTTATATATATATATATATATATATGTTTATACATACACAGGCTTGGTCGGGAAGCGGGAGCGATCATTCTCGATTGCTGACCACGTAAATAATATTTAGTTGCGAAAAGCTGGCCAGATTTTTTAGTCGTTTTGAGAACATTTTAACAAGCAAAAAAAAAAAAGCTCAAGATTAATTGGACCGATGAGAGACAATTACAAAAAAATTTTAATAAAATTAAGCGATGTTTTTTATCTTAAGTAACATCTTACGATTGTTTAAAAAGGAAACAAATATTCTTTATTAAACAAAGTTTGCAAGTTTTAGTTTTATTTAAGCTAAATTATTTTATAAATAAAAAAGCTAATTTTTATTAATACCTATTTTATGTTTCGCGTAGTTTGAAAAGTTTAACATATTTGAAGCAATTCTTCTTAGTAAGATAAACAAATGAAATAATTAAATTATTGAATTACTATAACATTAAATTAACAAGATAGAAATCAACTAAAAAGGTTAAAAATATGACGAGGAAGCAAAACTGCTTCGCTATCGCTGATGATGTATAGTGAGTGGGCTTTTTAATTAGTTCGTAATTTAATTAGTAATTAAAGCAGAAAAAGTGTAACGAGTTTTTAATAATGGCAAATGAAGCGAAAATAATTAGAGTTAGTAAACCAATATCTAGAAACTTTTTTTTATACCTAATTATTTGCTGTATATATTTGTGTTCTGTCGTGACCTCAGGCGCGGTGCTTGTTCATCCGCGAGTTACTTTGTATGCGTTGTTTGTGATTAGTAACCAGAAACTTCTTATATGTGTTACATGATTAGTTTTATTAACTTTAACGATTATAACTTTATTGAAAATGCAATTATTTTTGTAAGTCTTTGTTTAAATCATAAAAATTGCTTTAAAAGATACATTACGATAAAAAACAGATCAACAAAATTACATTTACATAAAGAATACATACTTTTTAAATAAAAAATAAGAATGTACAAATAAAATCTATAATTTATAATAAACTTTTAAAATTTTGACAATTTAATTAATACATATTTAAAACATTTATTTTTGTCAACAATTTATATATATTCTTAAAACGATTTATGCTAGAAATCTGAAAACGTAACAAATCGTGAATAATATAATTTCTAAAACATTTCAACAAAATGCTCCAAAATTTTATTTCGCTTAGTCAGCGTATTTTTTGAACCAATAGAATTAGTTTGTTTGTTAATTTGGTGGGTTTTTAGTTTTCGCGAATATTCTTTTTATTCTTTCGCACCAAGATGTTTTGAGAACATTTAAGTTTTTTATGTTTCCATGTATGTCCGTAAAACAAAAATTTTTGTTTTGTAAATAAACTTTAATGTTCTCAAAACGACTAAAAAACCTGGCCAGTTTTTCGCAACTAAATATAATTTCCGTGGTCAGTATTCGAGAGCGATTGCTCCCGCTTCCCGACCAAGCCTGCATACATACATAAATAAGTACATACATACATATATACATTCATTCATACATACATGTATGCATGCATATATACTAACGTATGTATGACTTGAAAAAATATATGAAGCAAATTTATAAGTGCAAGCCTTCCAAGGAAAGACATGCGGTTTTTCGTCTTGTATGACCACACAAAAGTATTTTATTTTAGACAACTTAAGCACAGCCGTTTGCAAGTTTTATAATAATCTATGCAGAAAAAGTTTCAAAAACAAAAAAAAACAAAACTACCAAAATAAAAAGAGATTAAAATAGAAAAAAATAAAAGCAAATTAATAATTTAAATAATTTGTGTACTGTTTTTATTTTTTTTTCTTTAGAGTGGTTGTTACATTTAGCAACAAAATTAGATAAGGCGAAGCAAAAAAAAAAAAAAAAACAGTTTGAAGTCTACAATAAAAAGAATATTTTCCTTTTCTTAACTTTTTTTTTAAGAGGATAGCAAAAATATAAATTGCAATGTGTTTGTAAAATATATTTGTATAATTTTAATGTAACAACAAGGATTAAATTAAGCAAATGCGAAAAGCAAAATCTGGAAAAATATCTACTATTCAAAATTTTCGTTTATACAAAACCGTGTTCCTTGTTTTTAAGGGAAGAATCAACTTAAATTTGTTAGCGAAAAAATAAAAAATAAAACAATAAACTTACGATTACAAAAGTAATAACACTCTAGTCACTAACTGCATTACAAAAGCAATAACACTATAATAGTGTTATTACTTTTATAACACACTTATAACTTTTAAAATTCATTCTTTGTTCAAGCAGCATAAGTAATCCCAAATTTTAATTGAAGTAGAAAATTATCTAGAAGAATAAAGTGGATGTTCAAATAATATTTAAAACTTAAATAACTTATAAAAACATGACAAACAACTTTATAAAAATGTAACGTATTAAAAGTTTAGCAATATGAAAAACGTTACTAATGGGACGTAAATTTGCCTGTTAATTTTAAAATAAACCAATAAAAAATTTTTATTGGTTGATTTTCAAATTAAGACACATTTTTACTTAATGTTTTTCATAATGCTATACTTTTTATAAAGTAGTATTTTATGTTGTTTAAGTGATCTGTAAAAGTTCTTGAAATTTTTATTAATATTTGAATATCCGCTTTATTTTTTCTAGATGTTTATCTACTTTAATATTTGGAATTAATAATGTTGTTTGAACAAAGAATGAACTTTATAAGTAATAAGTATTTATAAATGTAATAACACTATAATAGTTTTTCTTTCTTTTATTATGCAGGTAGTGACTAAAATGTTATTACTTTTGTAGTCAAACGTTTATTTTTTTTGTTTTGTTTTTTGTAACTTTCTCCCTTGCAAACTTTAAATAATTTGCTCCTTGTAAACAAAGTACACAGCTTTGCATGAACTAAAATTTTAAAGACCAAATATTTTACCAGAGTTTGCAAATCGCAATCGTATAATTTAACTCTTGATATACACGGTTAGCATGGATCCTTATAATGCCTACCTAGCTGTCCCAAGAATGCCACTTAAACGCAGGGGCGTGCTGGCTTAAAAAAGGACATGCAGGATTTTTTCAAAAAGTCCCATATACGAGGGATTTTGCCAAATATGCTTGATTTAAAGGCCCTCATTTGTGTATCTATTTAAATATATATGTATGTATACATATATTTAAATATGTATATATATATATATATATATATATATATATATATATATATATATATATATTATATATATATATATATCAATAATAAAATGACCTTATCCAGTTAAATCAACATACTAAAGCAATAAGTTATGATTGAATTTCCTTAAAAATGGCATTGTGCTGCGGCAAGCACAATTTATGTTTTCTTTCCTAAAAATAAACAAATTTCACAGCTTTTTATTGTAACCAAATAGGATTTGTATTTTTTTCTGTAAAATTAGTAAATTTTTTTACATGGTTTTAGGTTTTGTTTGAATCAGCGTTTTATCTAGTGAGTTTTCTTAGTAAATAAAATAATGTCGGCTATATTTTATTCATACAGCTAAATAACTGCACTATTATTTAGTCGTATTATTAATATATATATATATATATATATATATATATATATATATATATATATATATATATATATATATATATATATATATATATATATATATATATAATTACTTTAATAACTATTAATTTAAAGATTGATAGATTGATATTTGTAAGGATTGATATTTGTAAATCTTCGTTAACGAAAAAAAATCTGTGCTCTATGGAACACTCTGAGCCATAGAAAAGTGATAAAAAATTATTTATAAAGTATAAGCGTTAGTAGAAAAGGAAGTGTTTATTAGCGTTACAAAAACAACGATACAACATTTTTTATGTCAAATCTTAAAAAAAAAAGAAGCTATAATTAAAACAAACACTGATTTTCCAACTATGTTCTTTGAAAAAAAAAGCGGTTACTAAAGTTTATAATGATAAATATTAGTTTCAACGTATTTGCGGTCCCTGAAATTAATAAATCCGGAATACTTTCAAATAGAAATAAAATGCTTTACTTATTTATTTGTATATATAGAAAAAATATATATCTACTTTTTAAATAGCAGTAGTACATACAATAAGAGCAATTTTATAAAAACTCACACAAATTATTTATATTTGAAAAACTTACAATTTTTGTTTGTGAAAAACAATTAACTGTTCTAATTTAACAAAAATTTTATCAATATAAAAACATTTTCCATAATTTAAAGTTAAACAAAATTATTTCTCATAATAATCATTAGTTAACTTAAATAATTTTATCTCTATAATGACTCATATAATAAGCGATTTAAGTGAGGTAACGATCAATTATTTTTTTCAATATTGACGTTGTTTTGAGGCAAAAGTTACAAACGGTTGCATTTTATTTTGCAAAATACTAATATATATGCGCTTGAACTCCAACAGTTTGAATCAGAGACTTATTAATGAATTTAACTTGTGGAATAAAAAATAAAGCAAATAAATATCATTTGTGAATCATTTTCGGGAATCAGTAAAGGGTATAAAAATTCAAAAAAAATGTCCCTTCTAGGATAAATAGCGTTAGGCCCAAGCGGGATTCCCTCATAGCCTCTGGGGCCAGTAACGCTTATACCTCAAAGTGTTACCAATTACTTTGAAATTCGGTCTCTATTTTTAAAATAGCAGTTACACGAGTGTTCTACTATGTAATACCAACAATTTTTGTTATAATTATTTTATCGGTACATGTACAGTTTTCATTTTATTGACCAAAATACTGATTTTCTACTTAAAGCGTGATTTG